TGTGTCAACAGTTGCGAACATGAAACCCAACCAATCTCTGCATCACTGTATCAAAAATATAAAAGTTGCTTCGGCAGTGTCCATCTGACACTCTCATTTCTACCTTGTACCTGTATAACATTGACTAAACATTGTTACAAAATAATACCTAAATCTGAATATACTCCTTATTGCATTGACAATACATAATTACAAACACCAAAAAACAAACAACGCTATACCTCATCTGAGGAGATTTCGATTCCTTGTTGCATTTGTCACAATATAAATAGGTATTAATATTAGGAATTTTCTCTTGCAATAGGTGTGGAATTGTAACACAACCATATCTATCATCAACTTCGATTATCTTGGCCTTAATTGTATACTCCATCACCTATACAATTATAATTTTGTTCACAAACTATGTTATAATAATCAGTTTAACGTTTTGAGTGAATACTGTATCCATCAACATCATGCCACAAGAGATTGGTAACATGTTTCAGTGATGTTCTATTCTCAAACATTTCCTTCTCAATCGGAACTTGATTTAGAACCTTTTCTGTAATTGAATTACTGGCGAATGTTATTCTGAAATAACGAGAGTAGATAAAATATTAAATATCATTCTATCCATGAAATTACTTTAAAGAAATATTTCTTAACCACATACTGTTTCGTAGAGAATGCACCTCCCCTATATCAAATTATTAAAATTTTAGATGCCGAGGTTGTATTTAGATATAATCACCTTGTATGAAAAAAAACATAAATTAGTAATTGAAAATTGTAATATATTTTTATTACTGGAAATCTTTAACATTCATTGAAGTAACTATTATGACAATTGGGTGGTGCTCGCTGATTGCAAATCTTACCTATTTCTTCAGACAACTTTCCCTATAACGTAATTTCAACTACTTCCCTGAAATAATATCAGCGTAAATTATTTAAAGTGGAAGAAGAACATAAAATATTAACAAAAGAACTTACTCTGCCATCTGCAATCTGATGTCTCTTTTTTTATGCTTCGTTGATTGACTCTTCAATTTCTCCTATTGCCTTCAAAACTCCAATGGTATCTGCAATAATTTATCATATTGATGTACAAATTTAAAATTAAATATTCAAATTAACTGTACCTAATAATAACCTTGTATCATTTGTCTATTATGAAGATCATCAAGACCACCAAACAAATTATATCCCGGAATAACAATCCTCGGGTCTTTTAATTCTTCTACAATCGTGATCATGAGAAATTGTATCGTATTTTCCCAACCAGTCTGTAAGAGGGAGTAGATGGTATAAATTTATATGTCTGATCAAATATATTGACCCTTCATGAAGCTGATTTTAAACTTTGCAACATCCTATTCTTGTATCGAGCTGTGCATAACTTGATTCTAAAAAACCAATGAAAACTACAAATTTCAACAAACCTATATAAATTGCAAATAAAATCTTTCCATTATTTTCGAGTATTTTTATACCTATGATCAATCAAAATCATGTCAAGGCTCATAAGTTCATCACCCATTCTGAAATTCCTACACTCCATTATCTAGATACCTGATAGTAACTATCCAATCATGTTTTGATTCATCAATATCTTTAAGAAAATTATTAGGCATTGTTACAAATTGCCTGCAAAAAGAAATTCATCTTTAACACAATCAAATAAAAGAAATAATGATACCGATGGAGATTACAATTAAAGCAAATGTATAATCTAATTCTATTATAAATATTCTTATCACAATCTAATAGTATGCGGGATTTTTTTGTTCGGCACTATAATTTAACTTAGAAAAGAACTTACTGATTTACAATCGTCATTACAATATTGTTCGTCAATTTCTTTATTACAATTGTATAATATTATTATACGCAAATTAGTAGCTTTTATAGACGAATTCATAACCCAACATATGCAATATCACAATAGAAGAATGCAAATAATTGAAGGTATCACATTTACTTGTAACACGAATTATATCTAAACTATGCCAACAATCTGTTTGTTTTTTTTTTTTGAAACAATGGTCTGGTGATGTACTTTCAAATACCTTTACTTATTTCTCTTAATCGTGTACGACAACATAAACAACAACATATATATAACAAACACATTAATTTCAAAAGCTATGTATAAAATCTTTCACATTCAGATAAACACTCTTCACACTTCGCATTAATTTTGCATTAACGATAATACATAGCAAATACAATGTATCGATCTCTTCCTGATAAATATCTATCCACAAAATTGCATCAACATCAATAACACTTAATAAACAATTTAAAAATAATAACAAAATTAAATAACATCTGGGATCTTTTTATCTTTTTAATTTTTTTATGTGGACAGCTGTAATTCTTATTTAAATTGCATTCGACACAAATTTATACTATTATGTGACATAAGCAATACCATTTGTTTCATCAACACTTGAATGAGAACACTTCATTAAGAACAACATTAAATAGCAGAATACCAAACATCATCATAATACTGAACACATCAATCAAAAAGGAAATACATAAACTCATAATTAAACCAAAATTCTGATATCCTGACCATTAACAACAATATCACATTGAAAGTATCACATAACAGTATAATGCATCAATCAACTTTGTTGATACAAACTCAAAGAGAAATTAATCCACTCCATGTTTTATTAATATTATAGTTCGGCATTCACAAAAAAATTGACTAACAAATTGTATGGAATTTGTTGCCTAACCATTTTCCATAATTATAATTGTTCAAAGCCTGCTATGATAGATAATTTCACTATCAAACCATTGATTTGGCTATAGAATGGTTAGAATTTCATAATTTACCCATCATTTAAGAATGCTTAGAATTTCACCGAGACCTAGATTCCATTGCCGAACCATAATCACAATATATTAAATTTATAATTTCTTATAACTTTTATGGGAACAATGCTAAACCATGGATTTGTATACTCACCCATGATTTAAGGATGGACGAAGTTTGGATAGCTTGATATACGATTAATGATATACCACTACTAGAAAAACCCCATTTCTTGACATAATAAGTTGACAGATTTTCTTGACATAATAAGTTGACAGATTTTCTTGACCGTTCTCAAAAACTGTCAAGAATTGTAATTCTTGACAATTTTTGACCTGTCAAGAATTTGAAATAATCTTTGACCGTTTTGGATGATTCTTAACAGTTATTAACTGTCAATAATTTAGTTATAAATAAATTTTGCGAACTTTTTTCTTGACTGTTGGAGTCTCAATCCTTGACAGTTTTTTAACTATCAAGATTAAGTATATAAAAAAAAAAAAAAAATCCTTAAACTTTTCCGGCCCATTTTTCATTAACTATTCCCACCATTTTATCCCTAAAACTTTTACTTTCCTGCTATTTTGTGCAAACCCTCATAGTTGACCTACTTTCGGCATTGGAGAAAAAGTTCTAGTTTTTACCACTCTTATTCAATAGACGATGACTTGCTCATTGACTTTGGTGCTTACTCCGTGCCTATTCTGACGGAGATTGTTAACTTCGGTGAGTTCTAGGCGAGACGTATCTCCAACACCCAAATATAGGGGTGTTTGGAAAAATGTAGAAACCGAACTGAATTAGGAACCAAACTGATTTTTCGATAATCTAAAAAATCGGTTCGGTTTTGGTCCATAGAAATATAGAAAACTGAATTTCTGATTTTATTAAAAATAATTTAAAAAGTAAACAATTTAAATTAAAAAGTCCCTAAATCCTTAAAATTAAAGAAACACAAAACCCCAAACCCCGTTTTATTTGAAAAAAAAAAANTGTGAATTGTTGATCAAATGAAGTTACTAGGCTTGGAAATGATTTGCGGATTTTCTTCATACCTGTGATGTCTGAGTATGACTATATGAGCATCTCTGCATTAATTTTTATGAGCATCTTTGCATTAAATTTTTGCGTTCACAAATAGCTACATTACCAAATTAGCAAGTTTATGGTTAATACATGATGGTAATGTAGGTTTTATTTCTCTATAAAAGTTTAGATAGTGAAGTTTGTGGTTAAGACATGCTGACCTATAGCTTTTTCACTATTAAGTAACCTTCTTGTCCTGCCTGATGCTTTTAACATAGTCCCGAGGTTAGATTTTATTAATTCAAATAACTATGGGGAGTCTGAAGTCTATATTTGTCACTCTCTCATCTCTATCCCATCAAAAAAAGTTATTTATATTCAATAACTTGACTTGACTTTCATGCTGCAGTATGAAGTGTATTTATTGACATCGAAGTGCGAATAATTTTTTCTTAATTTCTTTCTTCTCACATACCCCCTATTTCGTTAGTTCATGCTTCAATATAATATTATAATGTAGAGAGATATGGGAGCAGAAGAGGTTCGTACTGAAATATACGGTATATTTGGTTACATTTTAATTTGGATAAATTCAATGCTTAGCGACATCTGACATCTTGCTTTTGCAGTGAATGGTTCCATCTATTTTTAATCTTTTTGAGCTCAGACAACTAAGTTTTATTTTGGAAACTTTTGAGCCTAGGATCAAAATGTATTTACTTCCGACGTTTAATATGCAAAAGTAATATTAATTATTTGTTTATGTTTCGGATAGAATCGTAATAAGTTTATACTGATTTTTGTGAATTGCTTAGGGGGTGTTTGTCTGAGCTTATGAAAATTAGCTTATAAGCAACAAGTGCTTATAAGCTAATTTTAACTTATAAGCATTTGAAATTTTAAGTAATTACATGTTTGGTTAAAGTATTTATAAGTGACTGATAAGTAGTTGACGTGTTTGGTAAAATGTGGGTTATAAGTACATTTTATTATAAAATGACTAAAAAGGGTACTACATTAAACAAGGGTATACTATGAAATTTTAAAATTAAACAAGGATAATGTGGTAATATACTTGGTTAAACTAGTTTATAAGCAAAATAAAATAAAAGTACCTCCCCTCCAACTTATTTTTTTTGGCTACTCAACTTATAAGCTTAAAAAAGTTATAAACAAATAGGTCAGTTTAATTTTAGGGCTTATAAGTTAGTTTGACCAACTTATAAACTTAGACAAACACCCCTTTAGTCCTCATTTTCTGATAGCTATATGAGTGTAATTAGGGGGTGTGGTGTGGGAACTGGAAAAACTTGTAAATTACGAGCTTATATATTCTGGAGGAAGTGTTTTGTTTAAAATACAAATACTTACAAGGATGGGTTTCATGTTCATTCTTCCACAATCACGTAAACACTATAAACTAAACTAGTGGGCTTATCATGTATCAAAAATAAAGATTTATTTTTGGATGAGCCTTGACCCAAAATCAATGTTTCTCACAGAGCCCAAACTTAATACGATTTTGTGAATATTCTTTAGCCCTGGGCTCTTGGATAATTGACTATATTTACTTGGCCCTGTATTTTTTGCCTCATTCACAAATTTACGCTGATGAAATTATTCAGTCAAAAGCAATAGAGAAGCCACCTACAAATGATTGTTGTTTTCAACTACGACGAAGGAACAAGTACAAACATATGTTGTATGTACAGTGGAAGATGTTTAAATTTAGCATTCAAAAGAGCAGAGCATTTATTGACATGTTTGTTTCTTTGTAATGTCAGATTTGGACTATTTGTTCCATATGTTCTTTCTTGCTCGATACTGCAAGCTTCTTGAGGAGAACTCTTTCAGGGGAAGGATTGCAGATTTCTTTTACATGCTTTTGTTTGGAGCAACATTTTTAACAGGTACTGTTCTTATTGGGGGAATGATACCTTATTTGTCAGAATCATTTGCAAAATTCATATTCCTTAGCAATTTATTGACACTCATGATGGTTAGTTTTCATTTTTCCAATTTGCAACATTGTTTTATTGGTGATATTGTTGTTGATAATCACCTGGAGGCCATCTAATTTTCTTAAAACATACAAGTGTATGTGTGGAGCAAACAAAATCCTTTCATCCATCTGAGTTTTTTGGGTTTGTTTACATTTACCGCAACTTATCTACCATGGGTGAGTAAGTTCTTGGTAAGGTTCCAATAGTTTCTGGATTTTATTATTTTATTCTTCATTATTTGTAACTATGCATAGAAAAGTTTTCCCTACTTAGAAGTACTAATATTTTGTTTTTTGATGAGGCTGATGTGTCTTGTTGGCCTTCTATTATGTGTTTTAATCATATATGTTATGTAGTTGTATATATACTGAATTTATCTACTTTTAATCTTTTATAGTTCATGGGGAAAAAAATATACACAGATGGGGAGATTGATGAAGTTAGAGAAGAAAGGACGATCAAACTTTTTTTAGTTATTGATGTTTCATTGATGTCAATGTTTCAATGATGGAAGAAATATGTATCAAACTTTTGTTGAATGATATACTACTATTGTTGAATTTCGATTACTAAATTAATTGAAAGATTGTTGAATGTTTAAATTTATTTATGAATTGTGATAATTGTTCTTGGTTGAGGAATATTACGAAGAATTTCATTGTATTATTCCATTATTTAATTTGTAATAATCAGGAAAATAAATTAATTACAAAATAAAAATATTTACAAAAAAAAATCTTGGACGGTTTAAGATTATCAAAGATGAAAAATTATTATTAATAAAATTTGATTATTATTATTAAATTAAATTTTTTATTTTTTAATTTTTGTTAAAATCTTATGACAGTTTGAAGATCGTCAAAGATTGGTTAAAATTTAGTCAAATTCTTGACGGGTTATAACTATCAAAAGATTTGTCAAGAAAGTTTTGACAGTTCAAAAATGGTCATCACCCTTTCTTGACACTAGCTTCAATGACGGGTGAAGAACTGTCAAGAAATCCCCTTTTTGTAATACTTTCTCTCTAGCTAGTATACTTGGAAAATAAAAGCAAAACTCACTAAATATATATAAGAAAATATACATATGGGTGAGGATAAAACAATGGGCCCATAACTAATTTTTTCTTTATTTACAAATCTTTACATAATATAATAAAGTCACAAAATAGTAACTCAACAGTGTTGCCAAATCCTTCAGCTTCTTGATGTTCCAAGCGACCGCAATCTCATCTACTACCTGCAAAAGCATTGAAAACAACGGGGTGAGCACTAATTGCTCAGTAAGTAAATCCGTTATGCTACTCTTCTCTCTCCGTTGCTTAAATTCTGAATTTCTTTCCTTCCAGCACACTTCTCTATTCTTCTTTGTTCTTTCTCTATTCTTTCTCAATTTCTAATTTCTCACTACTCATGATAATAGGCATGGTATTATGCATAGGTATGATGCAAATGCACAAATGTATAGAATGTGCATTTTCTTTTTTATTTTTATTTTTCTTATTCTGTTTTCTTTCTTTCTTTCTTTCTTTCTTTCTTTCTTTCTTTCTCTTCTTTTCTATTCTTTCTTTCTTTCTATTCTTTCTTTCTTTTCTATTCTTTCTTTCTTGCCGATCGGACTCGGTTGAGACATGGATTTGGAACCCTAGCCATGTGAGTGTATTCTCTAATTCTTCCAACAATCAATCTCTACTCCAAATCTCCCTAGGAAATCCATGCCCAAAATAACATCAAAATCGGGCATATCAAACACTATCAAATCCACTGGCAACTCCCTTCCATGGATCACTACGGACTCCCCTGAAAGCATCTCTTGAGTTACTACACTAACACCATCTGGTAACTCTATCTTAATGGGACAGTACACTCTAATAGGTTTCAAACCTAATCTCTCTAAAATCCCATGTGTAATAAATGAATGTGTGGCTCTAGAATCAATTAATGCATAAAGGGGAACTGAATGAAATAATAACTGACCAGTAACTGCGGATGGGCTAGCTTCAGCTTTACTCTAAGCTACTGTAAGCACTCAAGCATTGGTGCCTCTAGGTGTTTGCGTTGCGGGTGCAGGAGGGGCTTTGCAATCTCTCATCATATGCCCTGGTTGCCGGCATCTATAGCATACATTTCGGCCCAAATCTCTAAGACATTCCCCAAAATGATTTTTTCCACATTTCTGACACTAGGGAACTTCAACAATTCTCGGCCTCTTATTCGGCCAATCCCTCATGTTCTTCTTGGGTTGAAATCTTTTCTTATTTCTCACCTCTCTATTAGTGGGGGCATCAGCTCTATTTCTCTATGGAGCAGGAGGTGGAACACTAGGGGCTATTGTTGATGGAGTTGCTGGGGTTAGCTTATTCACAAATATTTCTGCCCGTAAGGCTTGTTCCAAAGCTTTACTGTATGTCTGAGGGGGTTGGGCACCGCCCACCACATCTCGAGCTATTTCTGGTTTCAGCCCCATGCACGAACTTATCCCTTCTCAATTCTGGTGTATTCACTACACTTGGCGCAAACCTTGCCAGGGAATTAAATTTCACCAAATATTCTTTCACTGAGCTAATCCCTAGTTGCAAACTGATAAACTCCTGAACCTTTTCATGAACTCGGTCAACTGTTCTATATTCTGCCTCAAACAATCTTCTGAAATCTCCCCAGGTCATCGAGGCTATATCATGAGTATCCTCCACCAATTCCCACCATATACGGGCATCACCCCTAAATAGGAAATTGGCATACTGAATCTTCTCCCGATCTGTCATAGGGAAAAGTGTCATTGTATGCTACACTGATCTAAACCACTCATTTGCCACTATTGGGTCCGCAGTACCCCTAAATTCTGACGGCTAGTGTTGACTAGGCAACCTATATATCTGCTTAATACAATTCTGCACTATCGGGGGTACCAGCCTCTCTTTCTCCTCTCTGGGGGTCGGTACAATAACCGGGGTCTCAACTCTTTCCGATACAGAGCCTCCTTGATTCTCTGCCAAGACTTGCTGTATAATATTACGGATCCTCGCTTCATCAAGGACAGGGGGAGTAGATTCGGAAGGGTTGGAAGGTTCACCCGTACTCATTTCTTTCTTGCTGTTTGCTTCGGTTCTACGTCTCATCTACATAACACCAACACTTTTAGTCAACTCAATTAACTCATCTACTACAATCAAGGAAAGAAATAACTTACAGCGGTTGACTACGAAACATCAATGTGGCAGGAGAGGCACATTGTCAAATCCCAAAGCCTTTGCTTTGATACCAAAAATGTAATACTTTCTCTCTAGCTAGTATACTCGAAAAATAACAGTAAAACTCACTAAATATATATAAGAAAATACACATATGGATGAGGATAAAATAATGGGCCCATAACTAATTTTTTCTTTATTTACAAATCTTTACATAATATAATAAAGTCACAAAATAGTAACTCAACAGTGTTGCCAAACCCTTCAGCTTTCTCGATGTTCCAAGCGACCGCAACACTAATTGCTCAGTAAGTAAATCCGCTATGCTACCCTTCTCTCTCCGTTGCTTAAATTCTGAATTTCTTTCCTTACAGCACACTTCTCTATTCTTCTTTGTTCTTTCTCTATTCTTTCTCTATTCTTTCTCTGTTCTTTCTAAATTTCTAATTTCTCACTACTCATGATAATAGGCATGGCATTATGCATAGGTATGATGCAAATGCACAAATGCATAGAATGTGCATTTTCTTTTCTATTTTTCTTATTCTGTTTTCTGTTTTCTGTTTCTTTTTCTGTATTTCTTTCTTTCTTTCTTTTATATTCTTTCTTTCTTGCCGATCAAACTCGGTTGAGGAAAAGATTTGTAACCCTGGCCGTATGAGTGTATTCTCTAATTCTGGGTACAGTCCTCATCCACATGCACTTCTAACGGACTGTACAATTCTTCTTTTTGAATTCTGAGGCCGCTCACTAAAGGCAGCGTGCTTGGAGGGCTATGTCACTCACTGGTTCACCATTGCAACAACCTTCTCTTCTTTTATCTTTTTACACTTCTTTAAATAAAAATTCAGATTTGAATTTCTTTAATATTCTCATTTCTTTCTATTTACTCTTTAATGTTCTTTAATGCTTTTTCATGCTCTTATGAGTATGTATGCATGTAGATGGGTTCATGCTTATAATTCTTTCTAAATTCACATGTTTAGATGCAATAATGCAATATGGAATGCAAACATGTCATTCTCTACCATCTACTAACTCATCTCAAAATAACACATAATCATACTCATACATGCACTTCTCTTTGACATTTCATCAAACAATTTATGTGCACATCCAAGCTCTAAATTGGCTACACTTCTACTTCTTTTCTAAGCCACCAAAATTTGGAACAAAATCTTCCAAGATTAACGCCAAACCTGTCCAAATTGCACACTCCATAATTTCTACTCCAATTCTTCCATAATTCATCCAAACTCTCATCAAACATCAAATACACAAACACTACTTCTCATGGATAAGTTCTAACCATCATTCAACATCAAATCCATCAACAATTCTTCATATAAAACACATATATGCATAAAAGAAATTCTCTACACAATATTGCTTCAATCATAACTAGGGTAGGATTTACTTACCTTAGATGTGAGCAATCCAACACTTTAATACTCTTCTTTGATCCAACTCTCTTTCTCTTAAATCCTATGAACACAAATCATCAAAATTCAACACTTTAAAAATTAAAACTCACTTCTTAGTGCAAGGATCTTACCTAAGGATGCTTGGGATTGAAATTCCACTAAAAATAACCCAAAATCTATGAATTTCCCTTGAAAAAGAATTGAAGAAACTGAGAGAATTTGGGGATGAAGGTGGCGTGAAAGTGGAGGAAGAATGGCTAGGGTTTCATTCTTCAACTCTTGATATAACATAATATTATTTATAGTTTCCCATTTTACCCTTGTACTTTCTATGAAATTTCATCTATGTCCCTTAGTCAATTACCATAATACCCTCATTTTTATTGCATTCTCCATGAAATTATATCTCTTTTCACTCCCCACATTTTCAACTAATTATGAGTGAAAAGACCATTTTACCCCTACTGACAATTTACGGGATTTTCTTCACACTGTTTCAAGATAACTTTAACAAAATTCAACTAAGGGTATGAGGGCATAAGTAAAGCTACGTACCTCGATGTGAGAGTTACAATTCTCCCCCCTTACAAGAATTTCGTCCCCGAAATTCAAACGAACAACTCAAGATGGCGGTTCCGCATATCTTGCTCTACCTCCTATGTTGCTTCTTCTACCTTATGATTCCTCCACAAGACTTTTATGAGTGGAATACTTTTTTTTCGGAGCTCTTTAATCTTTCTATCTAAGATCTGTACTGGTTGCTCCTCATAAACGAGATTCTCTTCTAAGTTTACTTCTTCTACTTTTAGTATATGGGAGGGATCATTGACATATCTGCGGAGCATCGAAACATGGAATACATTGTGCACCCTATCAATATTAAGTGGTGGCGCCAACTTATAAGCTACCTTTCCAATTCGTTGCAACACTTCAAAGGGGCCAATGTATCTAGGTGCTAACTTTCTTTTACCTATAAAACGTA